GAAGCCTCTGGTAGAATTTTTTTAAAAAAAAGAAGAAAAGAAAAAGCACAAGATAGAAAACCTCCTTTTCTACTTCTGGACATAAGAGAAAGGAGCCTGGCACCCATGATGGGGAGGCCATGAAGAGATAAGATGGGGATACATTATCAAGCTGCTGTATTAACTGACCTTTCTTGTTGTAAGAGATAATAAATGAAGTAGGTTAGTATTCCTATTATTACACGTGAGGAAACCGAGGCACAGAGAGAATAAGTAACTTGTCCAAGGTCAGAGTGGTAGAGTCAGGATTCAAATTCAGGCAGCTAGTCTCCAGAGTCTAAATTTCTGCTCTGTCTACCTCTCCAAAGCAATCTGATAGAAGATCACTTCCAGTAAGTACAATGACATTATGGGGTCTTGTTTGATAATGCATAAATTAACCTTGGTCATCCACAGGTTTCAATGGATAACTGCACTGCACATATATTGTACAGTGTTGCAGCTGTATTATATTTTTTTCCATTATTGCACACTCTTGGAAACAACAATTCTAGATTTGTTGTTTCTTGAAACAGGTCAGGTAAAGTCCCAGACATTCTGAGAAAGCTATCTTCTCCTATAGCTCTTAAATCCACCAGAATTTTATTTTGGCATATGGTAAGAGGTGAAGATCTAGAATAATTTTTTCCCATATACACTCAGACTGTTTAATGAACAACCGAGATAAGGTGGTCCATGAGTGCACTCTTCCTGTAACATATCCCAGGTATGCTAGGGAGAAAACAGTATAAAACAGGAAAGACATGTTCCTTGCCCTCACTGAGTTCACTGATGTAGTGGAACAGACAGAAATATAATTACATTTGGGATGGCTGTTTTGAAGTGCTAGGCACAGTGGCAGCTATGGAGTCTTACCTCTAAGCTGTGATGGGAGATTTCTGATGGGCAGTACCTCTTGCACAACATACTGATTCACCCCTCCACTTTTCAACAATTCCTCTGGGGTTAAGGGCAGATGGAACTCATATAATCGGGGAGACATCCTTCTTCCACTGGCTCTCAGGGCTAGAAATCAAACAGCAAATACGTCAGGGTCTGTATCTAAGGCCTGTCTTTCCTTCTGGTTCTATTATCCACCCCCCACTCCCAATATATAATGCTTTTTAGTCTTACATCAAGCTGATAAAATTACCTTAAAGACTGTGAGATCAATCCTGGACTAAAATCTAATTTTAGTAATGACTCGACCACTTGGTCATGTCACCCCCTAGGCCACATCTGTACAACAGGGTTATGTCTGATCACAAAGTTGCTCTGAGGTTCAAATGAGTTAAGGGGTATAAAAGTGTTTAAAGAACTTTAAAGTGGCATGTCAATGCGTTATGTTCGCATTATTATTTCCGTTTTTACGGGCAAAGCTTCTTAAGTAGAATGTCTCCCTTGAGACTAGAACTGTGGCGTGGCATGGGCTAGTGGGTTTCCAGGCTCCAGAATAGGAGAGCATTAACATTTATTACCTGTTTACTGTGTGTTAGGTTCTGTTAGGCTATTTGCATAGATCATATATGATTTGATTTTCCAAATCCCAATCTCATATAGTGCATAACACAGCCCAATCTACAGATGAGAAAATTGAGGCTAAAAAAAGCTTAAGCGATTTGCCCAAATTCCATAGCGGATCTATCAGACTTACTGTTTCTACCACATCGTGCCCCAAGGATATATCCATTAGACTTCTCTGCCTATCGTACGCTGCCTAATATTACTCCGTACCCGGTTTTCCCAGTCTTCATTCCCTGCTCTCCATTAACACCACACCTTACCTGAAAACCTTAACCGCCGTTCCTCGGACTCAGGATGTGGGGCTGAAATGAAGGAAAAAACAGGGCGTGCACAGTGGCACCAATCAGCGAGGCAGCACTTAAGCGGGCAGAGAAACCAGCCAATCGCCGGCAAGCAGAGGCAAAAACCTGCCTCTGAACCGGGCACCGCGCGGGCAGAGCCACAAACATAGAGTTCAAATCTCAACGGCCGCAAGGGGGCCAATCGGGACGCTCGCTGCAGATACCGGCCAGTCACATCGCGGGAGCCGGGACCGCACCACCCGGGGAGGGGCGGGGCTGAGATTCCGGCTCCCGCCTCTTATTACCTCGTCCTCCTTAGCCCGGTAAGGGAGTCGGTAGAGAGGACGTCGCAGCCAGAGATTCCGCGATTCCAGCTGGGAAGTGATAGTGGCCCTGGGGTAGTGACCCACTCAGCCCCAGGACAGGAGGCAATCCAGGCCAGGATTTAGAAGGTTTAGGTTCTAATGCAGGTTCTGCCATTTCCTCTGCTATGTGACGTCCAGAAGCCTGCTTCACTCATCCTCAGATTTCCTCCCCTGTACAATAAATAGGGGTAATAAAAACAGCGACAGCGCAAAATTGCTGTGCGGCACAGAGAAAGGAAGCTCTGGGTTCTAGAGTTTGGACCTTCATTTCTCTCACAGTTGTGGAATGGCCAAGGAAATAAAAGAGTGAATTTTCTTGAAGTTCAGTTTTGGGACTCCCTGAGTCCCTTAGCTCTTCTGGCGAGCCACGACTTCCCGCCCGCAGCCCCGAAGGGCCTAGGTCGGGCGGAGCGGGCGTGTCACAGCTTCTGCACCGGAACCCGGAAGGCGAGGCTTGTCGCTGGGGAAGGTGGAGCCTAGGCGGGCCCGGCGCCCAGAGCTTTCTGGGTAAGGCCCAAGATGGTTGCGTCCACGTAATACCCTGTAAAGCCAACGCGGAGGGTTCCTGTCATCTTGAAGGCCACGTCTGGCTAGTGCGTTGTGCCCTTGTAGGGGAGAGACTGTAACAATGGCAGGGAGCCTCGTTGGGGGCGCAGGCAGGCGTCTATGGGGCTGGGTGCTCCCAGCCTGCAGAAGCTTCTCTCTGGGTAAGTGGCCGATGTAGAAAGGCTGCTTAAGCTCTACTCAGTAAGCGGCTCAGATTCAGTCCCTATCTTCCCCACCCCTAGGTGTTCCTGGATTGTTACATGTAAGGCTCACCCTCCCGCCCCCCAAAGTGGTTGATCGTTGGAACGAGAAGAGGGCCATGTTCGGGGTGTATGATAACATCGGGATCTTGGGTAAGACTCAACTCCATGAAACAGAATTTAGGAATGGCAATTATGCTGTAACAACTATCTTTTTCCCCCTGTGTAGGAATGGTACCGTGCTCAATAGTAAAAGCGAACACTTATGTGGCTATTTATGTTGTGGTGGGCACTGTTCTGAGTGCCCTACACGTATTATTTAATCTTCATGATAAACATTTTACAAGTGAGGAAACCGAGACACAGGTTAAGTAATTTTTCCAAAGTTAGTAAATGGCAGTGCCAGAATTTGAACCACAAGCAGTCTGGCTCCAGAGTCTGTGCTCTTGATACTTGTCATGTGCCTTGACTGTAGGTGATGCTCAGAAAAGCGCAACTGTGTGCTGACGGCTTAGCTAGTCAAGGCTGGGTTGTCTTGGAACTTACTCGTTCTCTCACATTACACAGGGAATTTTGAAAAGCACCCCAAAGAACTAATCAAGGGCCCCAGATGGCTTCGAGGTTGGAAGGGGAATGAATTGCAGCGTTGTATCCGGAAGAAGAAAATGGTTGGAAATCGAATGTTCTTTGATGACCTGCATAACCTTAACAAACGGATCAGCTATCTCTATAAACACTTTAACCGACATGGAAAGTACCGGTAGAAGAGAAAGCTGGGGACTGTGAAAGAGGCACATCTATCTATCACTCGGGAAAAGGGCAACAGGACTTTTCCTTCTGAAGAAAGGGATTTGTATGTTCTCCGTAATAAAATGAGGCTTCTTTGGAATTTGTTAGCCACACACTGTTTTCCTCTAGATGCTACTTTTATTCATTCAAGTATACATCTGACTCATCCCTAAGACTTACAGTCTTTGGACTTCACCACTTGCCCTTTGCAGTCTAACCATACCTATGGCCTTTAAAAAAGAAAAAATTATTATTGGCACTTTTTGACATTTGGGTTTCATGTATTGAAAGTGGTAATTTTTAACTGGCCCATAATGCTAAATGTTAAGTGTATTTTAAAACCTTCCACACTGGAATGAAATGTACGAGAAAAATGGAATTATACTTCTGTACTATTCTCATCAAAAAATGTTTATTGGGTACCTTTTCAGAGCTGAGAACTAGAAAAAAGGAAGTATAATATATCCCCTCCAACATCCCCATGTGCTTTTCTAGTTAGGGATATAAATATATAGTCTCATATGTATACTTTAATATGAGGCATTAATTGATATGAGCCATATGAGTAGTTTGCATGGGTGGTTCCTAAAGCTGACTGATCATCAGAATCATCTCAGTAGTTTAACAATTTCAAAAGCCTGGTCCCTACCCCCAAAGATCTGTGATCTGAGTCTCGTGCATCTATATGTGTGTGTGTTAATAATTACAAAAAATACATACATAAAATGCAAATTTAAAAGTTAAAAAGGTAATCAGATGAAATCAGTTTTCTCACAGCCTGTTTTTTTGGATTCCTTCACAGAGACAACCACTTAGAAGATACTTTTCATTCCTTCTGAACATATACTGTGCATGTAAAAGTTTTTATTATAAACTATGTAGTTCCTTTAAAAAATTGGATTCTATGCACACAGTTCTGTACCTTGCCTTTTCACTTAATATTTAACTTGGGTATTTTATATCTTCACATTGTGTACCATAATGATTTAACCAGTTCCATTCTGATAGACATTTAGATTGTTTCTAGGCTTTTTAAAAAGGTCTCTAATTTTAGGTAATTATAATTTAAAAAACCCTCAGGTGGTTTTAATTAGCTGTGTTTGGACACCACAGATGTGGACAATAAATGACCTAGATAAGTATTTGGCCTAATCAGGAGAGGCTTTATAGAAGAGGTTGGATTTCAGTAAGGAGAGAAAAAAGTGGTAGAACATTCTGAGGGAAGAGAAGAGTGATCAGTGGTGCACAGTGAGGGAACACATTTTGAGCTGGAAGATTGCAAGGTAGATCTAGCTATAGTGAAAGTATGATACCATCTGCTTTTCATAATTTACTTGGCTGTGAATCATATTAAAGTCGGCAATACTCAATTGAGACAAATTTTGCTAGTTTCTAGAATCATGTATTGATTAGGGTTAAACTTAGTATGTCTCCAGTGCCTAGAATAGTGAGGCTCTCCATAAATATTTGCAGAATGAAATAAGGAAAGTATTTGATGTGTTACTTTTAAAGAAATCTTTTAAGTCGGTTAAAGTGCTATTTGTGTTAACTGGGAGGGTTTTTAGGTTGATATGGGTAAGTCTGGTTGATTAAGGACATAACCTAAGGACAGGTCTGGGTTTAAACTCAAGCTCTACCACTCTATATTCATGGGGCCCTAGGCAAAGTAGTTAACTTCTATAAGCTTTAGTTTTCTTTTAGCCTGTCAAGTAGTAGGAATAATAAAATACTTTAAGATAAGGTTGTGTGAGGAATAAATGAAACTATACGTGTAAAAAATTTAGTAGAGTTTGACAAGTGAATGGTAATGACATTGGAGTGTGTGTGTACTTGTCAAGAATTAGAAAAATCTGAAGAAATTAATGAAAATATTTTAAAAATGACTAACTTTTTATTTATAAAAGTAGTATTGCAAACTAAAGAAAATGAATTACAGATACAAGTTGGGATTTGAAGGTAGAGGGATGAGGATGATTAGGTTTCTTATTTGATCCAGATCCTTTCAAGTAAGTTCTTGTTTCAATGATCTATTGTTACATAAAAATCCACCCCAAAACTTAGTGGCTGAAAACAATTTATTACTTCATGCTCTCCTGGTTCCGGGTTCAG